TAAAACAATAAAGACTACTGCCTTTCTTAGTATTTATGTAATTATAGATGGGTACTCAGTCATGTAGGGACGCGGGTGGCGCTGTGGGTAAAACCTCAGCGCCTAGGACTTGCCAATCGCATGGTCGGTGGTTCGAATCCCCGCGGCGGGGTGCGCTCCCGTCGTTCTGTCCCAGCGCCTGCCAACCTAGCAGTTTGAAAGCACCCCCGGGTGCAAGTAGATAAATAGGGACCGCTTAACAGCGGGAAGGTAAACGGCATTCCGTGTGCTGCGCTGGCTCGCCAGATGCAGCTTGTCACGCTGGCCACGTGACCTGGAAGTGTCTGCGGACAGCGCTGGCTCCCGGCCTATAGAGTGAGATGAGCGCACAACCCTAGAGTCTGTCAAGACTGGCCCGTACGGGCAGGGGTACCTTTACCTTTACCTTTTACTCAGTCATGTGCATCCTGACCTGGAGTCTGAAGAGGAACAATCAAGGCTCAGGTTTGGCACCTCGGGTAGCTAGGCCAGAATGCTTCAGTTGCTGGCGTCCACCTTCAGAAAGTGTAGATCTGAGAGCATTTCCTGACAAAGCAGGGGAAAATGGGAGACACATGGTATAACATAGTCGCTTGACCAGCTTGGCTTCTAAATTGTTCATATTTTCAAGGCAGCAACAGGAGAGGTGGAGAGAGAAAGAGTTCACTGTAATAAACAGTATTGTCTCCGAAGCAGAATGCTTATCCCTAGGAGCCAAGACTGACTAAGAAACATTTGGTTTAATTCTAGAGAGGCAAAAGGAGCATGCATTGTTTTGACAGCAAGGGATAAACAAGAGTATCCATTTCAGTTTAATATTCCAGACACTCAAGAAGGTATCAGTAACAGAACAACAAAAAGCCACAATCTATTCATGCTCATACAATCCAACTGGCTTCCAAAAGCAAAATTTATACTGCAATTCTGAAAACGGGAACATTTCGTCGTTCACAGAAATAAAACCACAGGGCCACAGGTACCTAAAGAACATCCAGTCTGACTCTCAGATTAAGAGGCTGGTTCCTGAATATACTAAGTGGCAAAGAGTCAGGATGTTAGCTGAATTTTGCTTTGGTCACCCTGTTGGAATAACCAGCGCTCGACTTTAATATATATATTACAGAGAGCAGCAGCAGCTTTGAAAAAGTAGCAAAGTTCGTAAAAATATTTAAGCTAAATGTGGTTGCTACGTTAAGAAAACGATTTAACAACAACACATAACAATTTCAAAACAAGGACAAACCCTTCTGTAATTGATGCCAATCATTAATAAAAATAGACCATACTTCATATTTTGTTTGTTTGAAGCATTTCTGCACTGCTCTTCAGTCTCCCAAATCTATTCTAATTCTTCCATTGCAAAATTTGCCTTTTCAGTGATTTTCCAACACCAGTTTTGCAACTTGCTAAACTACACCACTTGCTGGTTACTAAAATCTGGGCAACTCTTCAAAATGTTTTATCTTAATTCGAATTGTGGTTTACTTAATATGTCATTTAAATGTCATAACAAAGGGCTGTCGATAGAGAGGGAAATACAGAGAATTTCATGAACACTCAACTTACGAACGCATTAAGGTGCCTTAAACCAACTGAGACTCTGTTGGTTCATTTAAACCCAGGGGTCAGCAAACTTTTTCAGCAGTGGGCCAGTTCACTGTCCCTCAGACCTTGTGGGGAGCTGGACTATACTTTGAAAAAGAAAGAAAGAACAAATTCCGATGCCCCACAAATAACCCAGAGATGAATTTTTTAAAAAGGACACATTCTATTCATGTAAAAACATGCTGATTCCTGGACCGTTCGCGGGCCAGATTTAGGTGACTGGGCCGGATCCAGCCCCCAGGCCTTAGTTTGCCTACCCATGATTTAGCCTGTATTAGCTGCTCTATTTGCCAGGGCTTTCCAAATCTGGGGTTCTCTTTATACAGAGCACATCCTCTTCCACTGAGCTATAGACCCTCCTATGTTTTGGCAGTCATATCGTTTGTGGAGGACATCAGCTTTGTAATAGCCACCATTTTTGCTTACATTTTTTTGTAGTAATGCTGAAAAGGTAAAGGACCCCTGGACAGTTAAGTCCAGTCAAAGGCGACTATGGGGTTGCAGCGCTCATCTCACTTTCAGGCTGAGGCAGTCAGCATTTGCCCACAGACAGCTTTCCTGGTCATGTGGCCAGCAGGACTAAACCGCTTCTGGCACAACGGGACACCATGACGGAAACCAGAGCGCACGGAAATGCCATATACCTTCCCACCACAGTGGTACCTATTTATCTCCTTGTACTGGTGTGCTTTCGAACTGCTAGGTTGGCAGGAGCTGGGACACAGCAACAGGAGGTCACTCCGTTGTGGGGATTCGAACTGTTGACTTTCTGATCAACAAGTCCAAGAGGCTCAGTGGTTTACTGCATGCAGAGTTCAATGAATGCTGCTTTCAAATTTCAGGTTGCCTTGAAGTAATAATAGCTGACCAGAGTCTTGGGCTTAACAAAAGAAAACTAATAGCTTGGGCTGTTCTTGTGATGTGCATCCATGGGCTGTATCTGCTGGGAGAGTCAGAGAGCAGTTCTGAACAGGCACACAGAGATAAAGCTGAGTTTGGGCTTTGCCGGCATTTTCAGGGTGCCGAGTGCCTTGGATGTGGGAAACACTGGACTTTGGAGTGTTAAGCTGTCCCTCCACCTACGCTCAGCCTGTATATTTGTACATAAATTCAACATGTCATAAGCCTCCAGTGACCAGTAAAAAACCCAAAAACGGAACTCAGGTAAGCACTGAAACCTCTCACTGGTTGAGCCAATGTACTTGACCCTAGCCTTGGCGTATTCGGCATTGGCTTCTGAAGGAAGATAAACTAGTAAACCAACCATTAACAGTTGCCCAAGAACATCTCATCAAACTTTAAAATTCCACCCTGGACCAGGCTGTGCTTTTCAAAAAGCCGCAGCTCAAAACCACATTCAGCCATGTTTATTTCCTGGATGGGAAAGAGGCTTCAAGGATGGAGCAGAAAGGAGAGGAAAATGGTACACTTTTTGTGGGTGCGTTCCTTTAATCATATTTGATTTGAAATAAACAACTATCTGACTTTTACACGACGTGTGAAGGAAACCCTGCTTAGGGAAGATTTTTATGTTTGATGTTTTATCATGTTTTTAATATTCTCTTAGGAGCTGCCCAGAGTGGCTGGGGAAATCCAGCCAGATGGGCAGGGTATATAAATTATTATTATTATTATTATTATTATTATTGGGTCAAAACACCAGGTCTAAATTCTAGAGTGGAGATTGCTAACCCTTTTAGGACCACGGACACATATTTTTTGAGTACCACCCCTCTTTTGCTCCTCTCTTCCCTCTCCCAGATCAGAACCCCCCCCCCCCCGAAAGACAGAAAGAGAGGATGTACATAGGCACACACTTCAGTTTTCCAAAGAAGCTGAGCAACATCTTCCGTGTCAAGGAGAGGCGGGGAAGGTAATTCCCCTGGGAAAGAGCGTAGATGATCTCAGAGGTTTTCCAGACAGCAGGGGAAGGCCTCAAGAGCACCATCACACCCACAGTTAATATATTGGAAAGCCTTTGAACTTGCCTTCACTCCAGTTCCCACCACCATTTAAAAAGGATCAAGCTCCGTTGGCCCAAAGATGGAAAGAAGACAAAGTCCCTACCAGAGAAGAATGGCAGATTAAGTTGATGGATTATGCCGAAATGGCAAAAATGACTGGAAGAATCAGAAATCAGGAAAACCAAAATTTTAATAAGGAAAGGGGGAAATTTATAATTTACCTTGAAGACCACTGTAAACACTTAAAATTGTCAGTAGGATTGGAATATCACTTGTAGTTTAATGGTGAATTTTGGATATACAGTGGTACCTCTGGATGCAAATGGGATCCATTCCGGAGCCCCGTTCGCATCCAGAAGCGAACGCAACCTGCATCCGCGCATGCGCGGGTCGCGATTCGCTGCTTCTGTGCATGCGTGTGACATCATTTTGACCATCTGCGCATGCGCGAGCGGCACAAAGTGCGTTACATCCAGGTCACCGCAGCGCACAACCCAAAAATACTTATCCCAAAGCTACTTCAACCCGAGGTATGACTGCAATGGAGATGTAAAAGATTTGGATTATCATAAAAGATGCAGGAGGAAATGATTAACAGTAGGACCCACAAAGAGGAGGAGGGAAGACCAGGAGACTCTTTGGAATCTTGTTTCTATGTCGTATGTGTGACTGTAAAACTTTAATATGAAAAACCAAATAAATAAATGTATAAAAAAATTAAAAAGAATCAAGCTCTGGGGTTGGGTAGGACCTCTGGCGAGAAACCCTGGGTAACTGCTGCAGTCTAAGTAGACAATACTGGGCCAGCTGGTATAAGGACTCTTGGTAAAGGTAAAGGTAAAGGTCCAGTCGCGGACAACTCTGGGGTTGCAAGCTCATCTCGCTCTATAGGCCGAGGGAGCCAGTGTTTGTCCGCAGACAGTTTTTCCGGGCTATGTGGCCAGCATGACTAAGCTGCTTCTGGCAAACCAGAGCAGCTCGCAGACACGCTGTTTACCTTCCTGCTGGAGCGGTACCTATTAATCTACTTGCACTTTTTTTGGCGTGCTTTCGAACTGCTAGGTTGGCAGGAGCAGGGACTGAGCAACGGGAGCTCACCCCGTCGCGGGGATTCAAACCGCTGACCTTCTGATCGGCAAGCCCTAGGCTCTGTGGTTTAGACCACAGAGTCACCCACGTCCCTATAAGGACTCTTATGACAGATAAATAATAAAGACTTATAGCGTTAGGAGGCACAGAGCAATCCTGGCAGCTCCGGCGAGTTACATACCATTGGTACTGTGAAAGGGATAGCTGGTATGGCCTCTGACCCGAGGCTAGCATAGGTCCAAATATGCCTTTTTGCACACGACTGGAGCCTGCACGACACGCACACGAGGCTCTCTGACTTGAACCCTGATCTGCTCCAGCAGCCTGGAGTTGCTGAACGGCCGAGGCCACCGGTTTCAGGTCACATTAGGGAGTCGTTTTAGTAGCAGATGTAAAGATTCTCCCCTTTGAGTGGGTATCACACAAGGTCAGTCAGCAAATCCTGCTCTAAAAATAGATGCCAGTTTCAAAGTTGGCAAAGATTTCCTTTGCCGTCCCTGTCACACTCCGAAGATCCACGCTACCTACAGCTCCTGGATAAAGTCACAGGTAAGGCAAGATGAGAGAATGCTAGACTCCCTTTTCGCCCTTTCCCTTAAAAAATTCTGGGAGAGGACAACCAGGCAAGGGGGGAAACTGAGTGTTTAGGCTGTCCTTTCAAAGGAGCTGTTGGCTTCTTAAAACCATTTCAGGGCAGAGGCACGAGTAACATTAGAGATTCATTCATTTGGGGATACAGTGAGGTCATTCAGCATTCCAAAATATTATACAATGAGCTGCATTTCCTTCTTTCCTATTGGACGAACCTTTTTTTTGTTTATGCTAAACTGAGATCTGTTTTGGGAGATTTTTAAAATCTACTCTGGGGATCTTTTAGATGCTCACCCCTCCCTTCTCCTCTGCTCCTCGGCTCTTTATTTTCTTTCAATTCCCCTTCCCTTCCCTTCCATTGAATTCTGTTGCTCTGCTTCTACTATAGATGGCTTGTGTCTGTCATTCAGGAAATTTTAATGCCTTATGTCAGCCAACCCAGCTGAACTGGCTTCATGTTAACCACATGCGCTGGCAGTGAAGACCAAGCGCGAAAACAATTTTTAAAAAAGAAATTGCTGGCCTGGAGAATATACGAGCGAGTAGAGAAGAGATGCAGACAGAGGGTAAAGGAATAGTGGCATAAAAGAGATTATACTCAAACTCGTTTTAAACTACAACTGCACGAGACACACACAGAAAAACCTCTTCACAATTTCCCCTTCCCCTAAAGAAACACCCACCAAAACAATATCTGAGAAATTCCAATGATAAGGATGAAATTAACTTTTGTTTTGTTTTGTTTTAAGAAAGTTAAAAGAACCTATTGCCATTAAATCAACTCAAAATCAATTCGGCAGGATTCTTAGCAGCATATTTTCAGACATCGATCTTCCATTCATTTTTAGTTGCTGTTGTTGTTTTAGTGGGAGATCTGAAGTAAAGTCATACCTGCGCCATGAAAACGACATTGTTTGCAAATATTGCATCTTTGATCAGATAAGCATATTGAAATCCAGGGCCTGCCTTCTCTCTCCTAATAAGTGACAGGTACATAGTGAGCCACGAGGCTCCTTCGGGTGGTTGCTAGGATTTGCAAAATATCATGTAACCAGAGTAGCACTTTAAGGTCTCCACAGCAGGAGTGCCATTTTGAGAGGGCAGTGGGGTTGCTGCACCTGCTCCTATTTCTCCTGCCATGCCTATGGTTCCGCTTTAATACAGAAATTGGGTAACTGATCTGGGTTGGCAAAATGTTGCTATAGTTATTATGAGCTAGAAACAAAAAGTAAATAAATACTCCAAAAATGCATTGCTTCAGCATTATCCGTTTAAAAGATCCATATCCAAAAGATGACCCTTGGACCTTAGCTGAGAATCTTGCTCTCCCACCCCACCCCATTCATCATGCCTTGCAAGTGTCCCAGAGAAAACAGAACAGGACATCCAGTTTTCTCGTGTAAGAGCACAGTGGCCATTGGGGGTACTGTGAACTCATGTGATTTCGCAACAAAATCTCACCCCCCAAAATGTGCTTTTTTGGGGGAGATGCTGTGGGAATGTTCTGGGGTGCAGGAAAGGATATATTGACTAATTATATCCTGATCCAACTTGTGCTAACAAGTTCCCAAAATATCAGCAGAGTTTACATACATTCCCCTTTAGTACGCAACGGTAACGTGTGCACAGGTTCGCTAGAACCTCTATAATAATTACCCTGGTAATTTCCCCTTTAGTTCCCTCTTAAAATACAAGACACGACACAGTCTTCATAAAAGTATAAAAGAGTTTACTCACGTCCTGTTCACAATGTGATCCCAGACGGCAGACAGGCTTAAAAAGGTTACATAGATTTAGAATCTATCTCATAGCAAGATAGGCCTTATCTCCTCTCTTGGCTGGGAGCCAAGAGGGCATCCTTAGGTGTTTCCTCGTCGAAGGAAAATGGCAGAGAGAGAGAGATGGCTGCCTGCCCTGTGCTTTTTGTCATCACCTGCACAGGTGAGGCCACACCCACCTCTAGTCACATGTGGAGGAAGTCCGTCCCCAGGAAGTTTACCTGCTTGCTGGACAGACATCCCCACCATGTTCTAACATGTACACTCTAGGAATGTTGTCATTGACTGCTCCTGTGTTTACATCCCACATACCCCTTCTCAGGCAATACAACATATACAAAATATAAACAACTTTATTCAACCACCCAGAGTCCCAGCTTGACACGTAGATTCTGGAAACTCTCTCTTGGTAGGGGTTTCGTCAGGATGTCAGCAGTCATTTCTTGGGTGCTGCAGTAGGATAGTTCCACAAGTCCATCCTGGATCATCTGGCGTATGTAGTGGTATTTAACCCCAATGTGTTTTGTTCTGGCCAGGAACTTCTCACTCTGCGTCAGCTTCAGGCAACTCTGATTGTCCTCTAGCAAGCTGACAGGCCCTTTTCTCACCAACCCAAAGTCCTTTATGAGTTGATCAAGCCAGGCGATCTCTCTGCAGGCTTCTGTTGCTGCAACGTATTCTGATTCTGTGGAAGATAATGCTACACAGCTCTGTTTATAACTGCCCCACGCGACAGGTCCATCACCAAACATAAAAACATGACCACTCGTTGATTTATAGTCAGCATTATCCCCAGCCCAATCAGCATCTGTATACCCAACCAACTTAGGGTCTTTGACAGCTGGTAACCTTAATTTACAATTCATGGTACCCTTCAAATATCGCACCACCCTCTTTACACCTGCCCAATCATGCTCAGTGGGAGAATTCACTTTTCTGCTAAGAATCCCCACAGCATTAGCTAAGTCAGGTCTACATGTGGTAACTAAATACAAAAGTTTACCAATCGCCGACCTGTAGTCATTGTTGTCTGGCAACTGCTTCGAATCCTGCTGATTCTTCAGGAAGTCAGTAGCCATCGGTGTAGCAACTGGATGTGCGTCTTGCATCTGCATGTGCTCAATTAGCTCGTGGATCTTCTGTCTTTGGCTAAGAAGAAATGAGCCGTCCTCTTCTCTTTCCACCTGGATCCCGAGGTAGTATTGGACATCTCCTAGCTCCTTGACCTCCACCTCTTTGCTAAGGTGTTTTACTATCTGTGTATAGTCTTTCTCACTTGCTGTGGCAATAATCAGGTCATCAACAAAAGCTAGGATATATGAGAATTGTCCATTATTTGACTTACTGTACAAGCACTTGTCAGCGTCGCCTTGCTTGTACCCAAGTTGCGTCAGCATTTTATGCAACTTCTGGTTCCAGGCTCTAGCAGCCTGTTTAAGTCCATAAAGTCCTTTCTGCAGCTTGCACACTAAATGTGCTTCATGTGGTTTTACAAAACCTTTGGGCTGTTTCATGTAAATTTCTTCAGAAATCTGCCCATGTAGAAAAGCGGTAGCAATGTCTATGTGTTTTACTCTCATTTTCTTGGAGGCTGCAATGCTTAAAAGCATTCTTACGCTGCTGTACCTCACAGTTGGTGCAAAAACTTCATCATAGTCTTCACCAAAACGCTGTGAAAATCCCTGTGCTACAAGTCTAGCTTTGTAGCGCTGCACTTCTCCTTCTGACCCCTTCTTAACCTTGAAAACCCATTTACTGCCAATGGCCTTCTTACCGGGAGGCAGCTCAGTGAGTGTCCAGGTCTTGTTCTGATGCAGTGCATCCATCTCCTCCTGCGCGGCCTTCCTCCAGAGACTGGCTTCAGCAGCTGGCATCTCCTGTATCTCTTCCCAAGTGGAAGGTTCCTGTGGAAACGCCGACCCTGCAAAGTAGGACAACCGTACTGGTGGGACACCTCTGTTGGTTCTGGATGAGCGTCTGACCTCTGGTTCTGCGACCGCATCAGCTTCCTCATCCTCCTCCAACGCAGGCATGTCCCCATCTGAGTCCTCATCTTCGTCTCTGGTGCCGCCAGGGTTCTGGTCCTCTGCGTCTTCTGGTGCATCGCCTGTAGGGGGCGCTGTAACACTCGAAGGCAGATAATTACTTTGTGGGGTCTCAAAAGGGAAATATACAAACTCTTGAGTCCTTTCTGACTCATCTGAAGAATCCACAACAGTGTTCTTAGTGTCTACTTTTCCATATTCATCAAAATAAACCGCATGGTATGCATTTGTCTTACCAGTTTGTAAGTCCATAATTCTGTATCCTTTGCCTCCAGAAGCATATCCCACAAGGATACCTGCTTTTGCCCTGGAGTCAAGCTTGTGTCTGTGTTCCTTGGGCACGTGGAAGTAACACGGACTTCCAAACACACGTATGTGCGACAGATTGGGAGCTTTCCCATGCCAAAGTTCAAATGGTGTGCGCTCTGCACCTTTAGTTGGCAGTCTATTCTGCAAATAGACCGATGTGTACACTCCTTCCGCCCACAGCTTGTGTGGCAAACGTGCATCCTTTAGCATGCACCTTGTCATGTCCATAATGGACCTAAACTTTCTCTCAGCTATGGCATTCTGCTGTGGTGTGTAAGGAATTGTGGTTACGTGTGCAATTCCTTCTCTGGCCAGGAGAGTCTGCACTTCATTTGAGCAGTACTCACCTCCATTGTCACTCATTAACACAGCTGGAGCTCTCTGGAATTTGTTCTTGACCATGGCAATGTATTCCTGGAGCTTGTCCACTGTCTCACTCTTCTCTTTGAGGAAATATACAACACAAAATCTTGAAAAGTCATCCAGAAATATTAAAATATATCTATTCTTTCCCAGTGAGGGAACATTCATGGGTCCACATATGTCAGTGTGCACTATGTCAAGCACTTTGTTGCTTCTTTGTTCTGCACAACGTGGAAATGAAGGTTTTACAGCCTTCTCAGTAATACAGCTTATGCACTTTGCTGGAGCTTTGTTGCTCTGCTTTACCTGCAAACCTCTTACAAGATTTCTTTTCTGTAGATCCAGAATGAGGCTGGCGTCTCTGTGTCCTAGCCTTCGGTGCCATAAGTCCAGATCTGCTTCATCCTTCTGGCTGGAATGTGCCACTTTTGCAGACTGGTTCTCTGAAAGATCAAGCTCATAT